TCCGAGCATGGACGAATAAGCCGGGCAGGACCTGACTGATGTTGTCACCTGGATGCAGGCTATGAGGTCACTCCGCATTGTTTAAGTAATGATTTCCCAAGCTGCACATTGCCCTGGCAGATTCTATTTCACACATGCTTTTGACACCGTTTTGAGGACAGAGACTAACTCTCCAACTGGGTGGACACATGAGTGGTACCATCTACCTAGAACTGAGCACACAGCAGATGGACAAATGACATCACTGGGAGAGGAAAAGGGACCGATCATTTATAGGGGTGAGTGAAGTAATATGGGGCGGCAGGGCTGCGTCCCCAACACCCCAGCCGCCTGCCCGGCTAGCTTATGCCCCGAAATAATTACACGGACACTGTATTCTTTTAAACACCGTTTGGCCCATTCTCTTCTAGGCTAATTCTCACATATTAATTTAGCCCATTCCTAATCATCTGTGTGTAGCACCCCAAGGTGCGCTTACCGGGGAGATTCTAGCCTAGTCCATCCTGGGTCGGAGCTTCATCCCGGGAGTGGGGCATGGCATCTCTCTCAGGCGTCTGCTCCCGAGAGGAAAGCGGTCGAGTCTCTGACCTCACTTCCTCTTCCTCCCAGCGTTCTGTTCTGTTTACTCCTCCCACCTATCCTCTAACCAATAAAATGGGCCAGGGCAGTTCCTTTATTAGCCAATGACCTTCCTCCATCATTTCCCCTTTTTCGGTTTAAAAAAAAAAAAAGCTTTAACTTTAACATAGCAAAATTACATATAACAAAAACAGTTATCAAGTAAAAGTTACAATAATCTTTATCATAACTAAGGAAAACTATAACTATAACTAACTATTCTTAACTCCATCAAAGACTCCAGAAAGATACAATACTACCTAAGCAAACAAGAAAAAAGCAACTTTTAAAACTCTAGAAATGACAGAGACATCTTGCTGCCTGGACAGTCACCCAAAGTTCTTTTGTATCGTTGGGGCATCCATCTTCAGCCTTCAGGCCCATGGCATCCAGCAGACATTTCCATAAAGCAGGAAAATTCAAAGTCAGTTCAGTCACTATCTGTTGTGTCCTGCAGAATGTCTCGCAGACTCTTTCATGAATCAGGAACCCGAAAGATCATCTCACCTTAGGCAAGTTCAGTAGTCCTCTCTCTGCGGGTTTTCTGTGTCCAGTTTATGCCAATAGTCCAGGCAAGAGCAGTTTCTTGCCCAAATGGCTATCAAATTCCATTACGTGCCTCTTCGATGCCCATCTTCCTCTTGAAGTACATTGGTGCTGCCAGGAGCAGAGTGTCTCATTGTCATGAAAAGTCCTCAGTTATTAAAACATTAAATGTCCTATTCTGTAATCTTTGAAAGACATGAAGAATGTCTATCTAAAATATATCTCTATATATCTAGAAAATCTAACTAACATGACTACAAGCTTTACTATTATCGATGATTATCCATTAACAACCTATATTTCTTAATTATACAGTACATATTTAAATGAACTACACAATCACAATACCTTAATCAAAATCAGAAACACTTATACATATAACAAAATTGACCTTAAATCTCTATCAATAAAGCAAAATCTATACTAATGCAAATTATTCATATCTATATCATATCCCCCTTTAAATGTAAAAGGACGTTTATAAACCATATTTGGGAACATGGGCGCAGTTTTTTCTCTCCAAACTGCTTCCTGCTGAATGGGGGCGTCGTTAATTAGGTCTTTCATGGTATAACCTGTGTGCTAGTTTCATCTCAGTTGACAGTTGAGCGAAACAAATTTTTGAAGGCGTGCACAGGAACCATTCAGGAGGACGTGGTCCATCATACCAAATCGGAATAGAAGAAATGAACAGCGTCTCATCCTCTGTGAAAACAAAATAAGAAACTCCTTTCCAAAGTATCATATCCTTAGATCCAAATTCATAATATCTATGTTGGATTAGTTCAGCAGTATTTATAAATAAATATCTTTTAGCATCTGTTTCTCCTTCCTCAGCATTTAAACAATTCAAAGAGAGCATAGTAGCATACAGTATCAAAAGTCTCTGTGTATTTTCCATCTTTGTACGCTTTGTTTTAACCTCTATTTTGTTTATTTTTACTTTTAACTCTTTGCTTTTTGAGACAGGTTCTCTGTATCTTTGACCTGAAGTAACTCTGTAGACCAGGCTGTCTTTGAACTCTCAGAGATCCACCTGTCTCTGCCTCCCAGGCATTGGGATTAAAGGTGTATGCTACTACACCTTGAACTCACAGAGATCTGTTTGCCTCTGCCTTCTAGGCACTGGGATTAAAGGCGTGTGCTACCACACACAACAACTCTCTTCCTTTTTTTGTTTTTTACTTTAAGAACTTCAACTTTTAGTCTGCATATATTTTTAACACACTTTAAACCTTTTAGAAATTTTCTTTGTCTTTGAATCTCTCTTTACTGTATATCTCTCTTTTTCTGACCACACAAGTCTTTAATTTACCAAGCAATATCAGTAGGACTAAAGGCGTGGCTTTGCCAGCTAGATCCAGTCCATTCCTTAGCTTTCCAGCCTCATGGCGGAGGTACTGGCTGTAGCCAGCAAGCGAGCTTCAACAGCCTGTGCTTGCAAGCCGCCTGCGTAAAAGAGTCAGAGTTTGTCCTGGCAGGACAGCCCAGAAAGCCGGCATTTTTAAATGGCGCAGCTTTTTTCCTGCTATGGCTGAAAACCGAAAAGCATGTGTTCAGCTTTTCGTCAACACCGTTTAAGTGTTTCGTGGCAGGACCTCTTAATGAGCTGCAGGCTTTGCAGCTAAAGCTGAGTCAGGAAGCCTCTCTTAGATGAGGCGCTTGCTTGCCTCGAGCAAGCAGAGTAGAACCGAGAAATTGCTGCTACCAAGAAACCAGGCACAATGCTTTCATTTTGTTCTAGAATTACTTTCCAAGCTGTCTCAGGCTTTATGTGGAAGCAGTTGTCCACGTGGGCGCCATATGAAGTAATATGGGGCGGCAGGGCTGCGTCCCCAACACCCCAGCCGCCTGCCCGGCTAGCTTATGCCCCGAAATAATTACACGGACACTGTATTCTTTTAAACACCGTTTGGCCCATTCTCTTCTAGGCTAATTCTCACATATTAATTTAGCCCATTCCTAATCATCTGTGTGTAGCACCCCAAGGTGCGCTTACCGGGGAGATTCTAGCCTAGTCCATCCTGGGTCGGAGCTTCATCCCGGGAGTGGGGCATGGCATCTCTCTCAGGCGTCTGCTCCCGAGAGGAAAGCGGTCGAGTCTCTGACCTCACTTCCTCTTCCTCCCAGCGTTCTGTTCTGTTTACTCCTCCCACCTATCCTCTAACCAATAAAATGGGCCAGGGCAGTTCCTTTATTAGCCAATGACCTTCCTCCATCAGGTGAGTGGAGGCTGTAGAGGGACATAGGTGCAACAGAACTGAATCAGGGAATCCATGCCCAAGAACTCATCAACCATACCAGACCAAGGAAACGGAGTAACTCTCACCTGAACCACACAGACATGAACCCCTATAGCACCGCCATGGTGATGATTCTCACTAGCCCTGTCACCCACCCAACCACCCTGGTTCAGCAAAGCAAAAAAGAGAATTGTCTGTTCCAGAGGCTTCGGCTTGGCTCCATCCCTGCTGTTGAAACAGCCTACTTCATTGCTGACTGCTTCCTGTTTGCTTATGTGGACCTGCTGGCCATCTGTTGGTCCATCCCTTCATCTGGACCTACCCCTGCTCTTGCTGGCCTCTGAGCTTTGCTTTCAATCCTGTGGCCTTCTGTGGTGTGACTCACTGCCACTATAGCCTTTCTCAGGCTCCGTTCTGTTTATTTGTCTTTGGCTTCTCAGACCCGTCTGAAAGTCTCTAAAATGCCTTGCCTTTATATAAAAAGCCATTCTGCAGTCTTTGCACCATATATAGAGATATTCAGTGTGCTGTGTAATGTGTGACCTGAGAGTGTTAAAGTAAGGGACACAGCAGTGGTTTACTCCTGAAGGGAGTGGACACATGATTACCCTTGGGAAGCTGAGGTGTATTAGAAGACAGGGCTTTGAGACAATGATCTGACCTTCCGCTGGGAGAGCAATCAGAAACAGTATGTTAAAAATGGTGTAACAGGGCCTTAAAGGGAAAGAGAGGCTTCCCTGTAAAACCTGGGGAGAAGCTTCATCAAGACGGGGATGAACAGCTGCCATGAAAGGAATGGCAAGAGAGGTGGGGAGGCCCAAGAGACTTCAGAGAACTCTCATGAACAAATCTGGCATTTATAAATTTTCAGGGGCAGGGGACTTTTATAGTGTAATTTAGTTTGGGATAGCATGGAGGAGCATAAGTTAGCCAAAGTACAGTGGAGAGAGTTCTGATTTCTTCAGGCTTCAAGGTCTGATTTCCTAGAGTGATCACCGTCTTAAAGGGGTAAGCTGTAACTTACCCTGGCTATTAAGATTAGAATTCTCCTTGGCTGGAGGTGGGTGGATCCAGGATAGCTGGGATGTTTGGGCAAATTGCTGTCAATGAAAGTGCCATGCCTTGTCAATAACCTTGACACTGAGGGAAGACCAGCGATGTTTATGTTTTGTTTATGTTTCTCAGTGGAGCATTCCCCACACCTTCACCCGCACCAGACACAAAGAGGAAAAGATAATGCACTGTGTTCTCATGGAAAACGGACCACCTCGGAACTACTTTTCTTTTCTAGTATTATGTTTCTAATAATTTTACATCATAAACATTAACACTGTGATATTTATTGACCACCAAATTATCAGCAAAATATGAACCAACCTTTAAAGATTAAAAACTATAAACAACTAGTTTAAGTAATGAGATCCTTCTGAAATAGATCCATTGGGCTTTCCTCATCTATGTAATATTACTTTATAACATTTTCCATCTTTATTTTTTTTTAACTGAATTAAAAAAGTCAAATTACAATCTGTTGGGGCAAATTGATTTTCTGAAGATACTAAATGATTAGCTAGAAATAGAAGCTGAGACACATTCACTTGAATATACTTTTATTCAGATCAACACTTACAGCATGATAGACTTTCACAAATTACTACCACGAAGCACATAATATTTAAAATATGTTGCTGTTCACAACTTGAGTATAGCATTATTACTGTTTGGTACTAGGCTCAAAGACGACATTTTGATTCCTCAGCTTTGGGATGTTTACTGACGTCAATGTGATTGTCTAGTCATGCAGAGGAGAGAAATTCAAAAGCAGTTTCCTTTTCTTCTGCCAGTTCCTTCGCAGTCAGGTCCATTTTCTCACGCGAGAAATCATTAATAGGGAGGCCTTCAACAAACTTCCAGGACTTATTCTGTTAAGACAACAATTGCAAGAGATTCGGTTAGTGACCTTTCAGGAGGGACCAGCCTAGCTTGAAACGGTGTCTCAAAGCACACCCATTTTAAAGTCTAACTTGAAGAGCTAGTCAGACACCAGAGGCCACTTTTTTGTTTTTTTTTTTGTTTTTCGAGACAGGGTTTCTCTGTGGTTTTGGAGCCTGTCCTGGAACTAGCTCTTGTAGACTTTTTAAAGTCACACTGGGGATGAAACCCAGCCAGAGCCTCCTGCATGCTAGGCAAGAGGTCTTCCAGAGTGCATGGCCTAGAACCCAAGTCATGATTATTAATGAACCAAAAGCACTTTAATGTGGGGAAGCAAATCTACCCCATACAAATGAGTATTCATGGCATGTGCACCACCATGTCAGGGACCCCAGTGCCTCCAACCCACTGGAATAGCAAGGCCTTCCTCTGTTCCTGGTGCTGATATGGACAAAGTATCAGCCACAGCAGACACAGCTTCCTCTCCTGCATGATTGCTCTCTCCAGAGACCACCACATTACAGTCAATTTCCTGTTCAGTGTTTCTGGGATACTAATGGTGCAACTTCATCATAGTTATAATGAACTATACCATGATTATAACAAAAAACAGTGTTCAGTACTCTGGGTTTATGAGAAAATAAGATCCTATTTATGAGCACAATAACAGAGTTATTGTAATAATAACGTGTTTAGCAGCAAGAGCTGAATCTTGCTTTCAGATTAGTTTCAGTATTTAATTAACGACTTGGCATTAGAAAGGAGTATCTACTTTAGGGATATATGTCTATCCTAAAATATATAATGTGTGTGCGTGCACTTGCATGGGCACGCGCCCCTCTTTCACAGCACCCCACCTTGATCACAACAGGGAACGAGTAGAGAAGGTCATCGGGAACACCATAGGAATTGCCGTCAGAGATAACGCCCATCGACACGAACTCTCCCTGAAAAAGATTTACACTATCATGGATCACAGGGATTGGTTTACACAATGAACCATCAAACTACAATGAAAACAACAGACTTCCTTTACTGTGTGCACAGCTGCGCACAGCTGCGTGCGAGGAGCCAGAGCAACGCTGGCTCACACACACCACCTTATCCCCTCTTCCAGATCCTGTGCAGAGCACGCCACGGCTTTGCCACTCTTTAAGAGTAAACATTTTTATTTATGGGTATGTGTGTATCTGTGCATGCACATGTGTGCGCAGATCCCTTGGAGCTGGAGTTATAGGTGGTCGTGAGCTGCCTGACATGGGATCTGGGAAGGAACTTGGGTCCTTTATAAGAGAAGCAAGCACTCCTAACTGCTGAACCGTCATCTCTCCATCCCCAAACACCATCCTGATTTTGTAGTTGAGAATGCGATAGCCCAATCCATTTTAAGAAGAATGGCTTATCACATATAACTGCCTTTAACTTGTAATATCCTGTGTGATAAATGTCATGTAGCAGCTGAAAACACAGCTTAGAAAGGTTAATAGCATTCCCGGGCTCCTGGGCTATCAAGGAAATGAACTGAACTGGCTTAATTGATCTTTTCACATTTTAGCACTAAGGAACAAAACTGGAAGAATGGCCTGTACACACGACAACCCTCACCTCTGGGGTTCCAAACCAGATGTCTCTGATGTGGTCAGAGATGGCTTTCGCAGCAGACATGGCGCTGGACAGCTTCCGAGCCTTGATGACAGCTGCACCGCGCTGTTGCACGGTCTGGGGGAGGGCACAGAGACAGTGTTATCTAAGCGTGACAGCAAAATTCCCATCAGCACTACAACATTGCTGCCCCCATAGCTCACTGGGTTTCCTACAATGCTAATCTTATTGTCCTAATTCAGTTAACAGCCCTTTTGGAAAACAAAAGTAGAAATTTCTATAGAACATGTGACAAACTAAACACAGAACAGCTCTTGCTATAAGCAAAACTAGACGGTTCAGTTTTTCTGATGAGGACAATAATCTCGACTGTTACACAACAGGTCAGATCAGATGATGATAATTGTCTTTTTGCGTGATGAAAAAAGAACACATACAGTCCGCAGAGCAGACTGTGACATACAGCTATCCTCCAGGGTTGCTCAAGGCTCAGCTAGCAGTGTGGTTTGTCTGTTTGACTGTTCCGACAGCCCAGGCTCTTCTTACCGTGATGAATTCTCCCTTGAGCCAGCTGTCATCCTTCAGGGCTTCATATACACCAACTTCCTTTCCTTGCAACTTCACCTTGGCATGATTGACATCTGGATACTGAGTCGATGAGTGATTTCCCCAGATAATGACATTCTTTACATCATCAGCAGTTACACCGAGTTTAAGAGCAATCTAGTTCAATTAAAAACAAACACATCAGTCAGACAATTGATTTTTATTGCAAATTGTGACTTGTTTGAAGACAGAGACCCTTAAGTAAAGGAAAAAAGCTTCTGAAATGTTAAACAAATTCAAGCTACACGGAATTCAAAAAAGGGCAAATTTTATTGCTCAGCAATATCCTACAGCATTTAAAAGTGTCAACAACTATGAGCTTGAAACATTATAGTGTAGAATATCTGAGAGCAGAGAACATCCTGTAATTCGTGATTAGATTATCAGCACAGTCAGTTTAAAAACATTGATCAACAGGTCATCAGATTCTTAATACATAAATATGAGCTCTGTTTTATTACTGTGTATATGGGAGGCTACCTTATCAACTAGGGTCAGATATTTTAGGTTATTCATCCTATTTTGATGAAATTTTGCTACATACAATATACAAATTAATTTTTAATTAATCTTAGAGATACTGGTATAAGAAAGGGACTCACATTACCAAACTGTGGCTGTCCCTATTTTATAGACTTGGGAACTAAATTGAGAAGGCTTCAGATGTGACTTACGACAGAACAGTCACATCATAGAACCACTGAAATTAATACATACGAAGGATAACAGTTCTTGCTTCCTTAGGCGAACTTTCAAGTCTGTCATGTGGATCTGTTAAATCCTTGTAACTCTCTTCTCCCTAAGAGCAGTGCTCTGTCAGATCATCTTGTGTGTCCGTAAACACCATGCATGTACACACCTAGTGTTGGGTTTCACATACACAGGAGAGTTCAGAGGTGACAAATCAGTCAGGAGGAAACTAAAGCTTTTGTTTTTGAATAAATCATGGAGGACTTCTCATGATTCATGAAAGAAAATTTTACTTTGGGTTTAACTACTTCTCATTAAAATGCTTCTTCAGAAGCTTCTATCGGCTTGAACTGTGCAGGACAGACAGATGGACAGACTGAAACTGCCCAACCAAGGGCTTGTAAGTGACCAGGAGAACTCCACTCCTAGCTCATTCATGACTTTTGCCCCAACAAGGGAATCTGTGCCACACACTGGGACAAAGTGCCATTCTGTAACGGGAAGAACCGTCCAACTTCTGCGTCTGCTAAGGCGGATCATGGAGGAGGCTTATCGGTGCCATTTCACCTCCTTCTCTGTAGGAGCTAAGTAAGGCCGGCCCACATCTACCACTGCAGCACCCTTCTCTTCCTTCATGTCTAGCTTGTCCTCTACTCTGGTCCCGTCCCTTCCCAGCCACCACACTGCCTACAGCCCAAAGCATCTCACCAAATACTTAATAACTGTCTAAATTAGCTGGGAAGTTGAAGAAGATATTTATGGTATGAGTCTTTCAACTTTAGGCTATATAGCTTTTAATAATAAAAACAGTAACAGCAGCAAATCTTTACTGTGTTTTATTATGCAACAGTATCATGGTAAGACAGTAAAATGCATTTAGTTTACTTAACACTACTGAATAGAACATATACAAGTATTTAATTTATATTCAGGTCAATCCAGAAGCTCCATCATGAGTTAGCTCTGTGACTTTGGGCAGGCTCCCTGATCTCTCTGGTCTCAGGTTTCTTATCCACCAAACAAGTACAATAAAGGCCTTGCACAGTCACCACAAGAATTAAAAGCTACATATAAAGCATTAATCTTATAGTAAAGTTAACAAATGCAAATTAGTTTATCTTTGAGTGGATATTCCAGAGTTGAAAGAGTCAACTCTCAATGTAAGATAGTTTTTTAATTTTTTTTTTACTGTAAATTAGTATCATTTTTTTTAAGAGGTTGTATTTATTTCTTTTTTAAATATGTTGAAAAATAAACCCATGTCTAAGTTCCCAACCCTCCTTTCTCCAAGCTTCTTGGGGGTGGACAAAGTGGGCCCCTACAGCTGCTCAGTATTCTTCCTACCAGGTCTCTGCAGTCACCACGCTATATGTATGTATGTATGTATGTATATATATATATATATATATTCCAACCAAAATGTCCCCTTCCTCCTCTCCTCCCAGTCTTCGCCCTCTGCTCCCATCCACACCTCCTCCTCCCATGGATATCAGCCTGCCATAGTATCTCTTCCGTTAAGGCTGGGTGAGGCAATTTGGTAGGAGGAAAGGGTCCCAAAAGCAAGCATCAGAGTCAGAGAACACCTGCTCTCACCGTTAGGCGAATCATACGATGATCAAGTTACACAACTGTCACATATGTGCAGAGGGCCTAGGTCAGTCCATGCAGGCTCCCTGGTTGTCTGTTCAGTCTCTGTGAGCCCTAGGAGCCCAGGTTAGTTGATTCCTTGAGTTTTCTTGGGTACCATTGGCCCCTCTGGACCCTAAAATCCTTCCTTTTCCTCTTCCACAGGATTCCCCAAGCTCTGCCAAATGTTTGGCTGTTTCTCTCAGTTGCTGGGTAAAGCCTCTCTGATTACACTGAGCTAGGCACCAATGGGTTCTCACTGGTGGGACCTGCCTCATAACTAATTTTTAACTACTCTATCAAGGCAACATTAGTAACCGTACTGAATTATAATTGGTATGCACACACAGATACATAAAATTGGTTCACAATTGTTACTGAGGACAAAACTAAGGAGGTAGGCCAGCGTCCAGTCAACAAACGCACAAACCAACATTTAATTATTTTAAAATTGAGAGAAGAAAAAGGTTTCAAAGCCTAAATCTTTACATTTTAAAAGCCATTTTTCTTACCTGAGATTTTGCTCGGTTGTGGTCCAAGCGAGTCAGGCAACTGAAGTTCTCCTTGGGGATTGATGGGGCTGACTTGGAGGCCGTCAGGCAGTTTGTGTTCGCTGGGTTTCCCACAACAATGACCTACGTGGGTAGAAGGCACAAAGACTCAGACCACACACCCGTCTTAGAACTGGACTCCATGTCTAACAGGCTCCTATATATCATATTTCCATGACATGCAAGGGAGTTTCCAGCTGGCCATATCCACAATCCAAGGGAGACATCTTTATGCTTTACTATGGAGACATCTTTATGCTTTACTATGGAGACATCTTTATGCTTTACTATGGAGACATCTTTATGCTTTACTATGGAGACATCTTTATGCTTTACTATGGAGACAGATCATTCATCCATTTACCGCAAAAACCAAGAAATCTAAAGTTTCATCTCAGAATTTGAGTCTCTCATAAATTTCTGTTTTTGATTTTTGAGACAGGTCTAGCTCTGCCTATCGTCAAATTCACAGAGATCCACTTGCCTCAGCCTCCTGAGTACTGGGATTAAAGATATTTCTTAAACTGGTCCAATCCTAAGAATCACCTGGGCTACTTGCTAAAATACAGATTATCTTCACTTCACACTCCTCTAAATCTAATGAGTCAAGCATACACATACATCTCTTTTTTTTTTAATTTTTTTTTATTTTTTATTTTTTTGGTTTTTCGAGACAGGGTTTCTCTGTGGTTTTGGAGCCTGTCCTGGACTAGCTCTTGTTGGTCTACATCTCTTTTTTTAACCCGTGTGTACCAACTGCCTCCGAGTATCCCAGTGTGTGAATACTTCCCCCAACAAAGACTTTTGCAGAGGTGGCATTGCATGTAAACAGAACCACAAATCCTGAGCAGGCTGGATTTTGCTAGTCTAAAACCTCTGTAATCTTTTACCAAGAGGCCTGTGCGCTCCTAATTCTTGTTAATGATTACAGAAAAAGGACAGGTATTTAAGATGAAATCTACAGAAAGCAAATATGTAGACAAGAATGAAGTATTATAAATGGGTCACTCGTGAAGAGTGATTTTGGAGCCAGGTGGTAGTGGCGCATGACTTTAATCCTAGCACTCAGGAGGCAGAAGCGGATGGATCTCTGTGAGTTTGAGGCCAACCTGGTCTACAGAGCAAGTTCCAGGACAGCCAGGACTGTTACACAGAGAAACCCTGTCTTGAAAAAAAACAAAAACAAAACAAAAGCAACAAAAAACAAACAAACAAAAAAAGAAAAGAAAAAGAAAAAACACCCCATCAAATATGCTGCTAGTCACCTTCACGGATTTCTTGGCGTATTTCTCCAAGGCAGCACCCTGGGCCTTGAAGATTTTCACGTTTGCTTTCAGGAGGTCCTTCCTCTCCATGCCTTCTCTCCTTGGCATGGAGCCCACAAGGACAGCCACATCGAGGTCTTTGAAGGCAACCTCCTCTTTGTCTGTTGCAATGATATCTGTGAACACGGTAAAGAGCATACAGAGAGACTTAAATGCCCAAGTTTCCCTCTTCATATTAAATGCACTTATTCTTTTAAACTGTGGTAGTTATTTTTATAGTTCACATTTAAAAAAAAGATAATATATTCATTTAGCTCCCCAAGAACACAGGAGAAAGTCAATAATATTTTGTATTTCTTACATCAATAATTACCTCAATTAAAAGAGCTCTATAGTTTTTATCATTTACATAATTATATATGATTCAAAGTCTTTAGAAACAGCATTTTTTTTTCATTTATTACCACAGATAACACAAAAGAGAAACCAATTCACCAAGCTTTTAGACTGTAATTACTTCAAGGTTTAAGATATCAACTACAAACTGAAAATGTTTACTGGGGCATACTGTACCAGGGAGAATGCTAAGGATTATATTCTATCAAATGTAATCTTCACATTTCACAGATGAAGAACTCAGGCATAAGGAAATGCTGCCACTGATAAGATAGGGAGAGCGGTCCAGAGTTCAACTAGAATGCCACAGTCAATCTGACAAACACATAGGACTTGGTTTTTTGACCAAGGAACATGCAATGGTGCTGAGTGTAATAAAAAGGCCACGGCCGAGAGTCAGAATTTCCCTACATAAAGTCTTAGGCCAGTAAACACGTCAGTCAGGTTGCTGAGTCCTTAAATGGAGGAACATCAGAAGAAAAAAAAGTGCGCATCTTCCTTTTCCAGCCACACAACTGAATGATTTGGATAGGGAGTCTCTCTCCTAAGAAATGCCTGACTAGACAGAGCTTATGTTTCCTTCAAGGTGCACAATACTGCGGACAATCCCTGTCGCAATCCCTGTGCTTCGCAGACGAAAGGGGACTTATGAGAGGGACCAGCTAAGGCCTAGAGCAGCACATAGCCCTGGAGAACATCCTCTGGAGTGGAAGCTCTCCTGTTACAGGATGCTATTACTCTAAACAGACTAAAGTAACAACACAATGCAAGCAACCTGGAGGGATAACCCTCGGGCATATTATACCTACCGTAGAGGGGAAGGGGGGAACGGCCTGACTTGCCACCGACTGCCTCTTGCTTTTGCACCTATTTGTTCTTGGTATCCACGTTAAAATGTGGTGTGGTTCAAAAACAACAAAAAGTACTTTTGTGAAACAATCTGACTGACGATCTTTAATAGCCTAAGAAGTTCATCTGTTTCCTCTGACCTCCCGACTCACCTTTCAGGAGGGGAAGGGCACAGTCTTGCAGTTCCATCAGGACGCCGTCCAGAACCCCCATCATGGGGGTGATATCCAGCAGCACAAGGATGATAGGCTGCAAAGAGCAAGGCAGCAGTGTTGGTGTTGGTCCGGCACTCGCTCTCACGCAAAGCCCTGCCCTAGTTTTTGTTTGAATATATTTAGCTTCCACTGATTAGTCATAGTTATGGAAGGGAGATGCCAGAGCTTGCTTTTATTAGCAGTTATAGGTATGATTTCATTTTAGAACAACTACAATATCTGACATGAAGGGAAAACTCAACTATCTGTAGTTCAAGAGAAAGGATCAATACTTAAAAGGATATTAGTGTGCAGAAATCAGACTTGCTAGAATTGGGGGTGCCTGTTTTCTGCGGGGTAGATTTCTCGTCTGATTATTTGGGTTCAAAACAGCATCCCTGGAGAGAAAGGGCAGATTCAACAACTCTCTCCTAGGACTCCCCCCTCGCCCACTGTTCCTCTCAGCAGTGACTCTGACTGTCACCTGCTGGCTGCACTAAGCAGAGTGGAAGAATTCTGATCTCATTGATTTTCAGTGCCTGCAGGGTAACCTATAAGCATCTTACTAGCTTCTACACAGCCAAGGGCTTATTGCAGTGTTGGGACTGCCGACTCTCTTTGTTCATCGTTTGTAGCCACACACAGCATACTACAATGCCGAGGTTTATAGACAGGCCCTACCTGGTCTTTACCAAAGACAGATCCATTTCCAATACTGTACAACAGCGAGTACGCAATCTGACCAGCTGCTCCAGTCACGAGGACTCTGATTGGCTCCGACTGCAACGAGAAAGACCCAGTCAGAGCTTATTAAGTGTTAATAAGGCAACACACGCTTTAAGAGCAAGTATGAGGTTGTCAAGTCTTCTCCTGACTAGCTGAGTAGGAGCTAACTTACAGGCTTGTTTTCAGCAAAGGCAGCACGTACAAATGAGCTATGCACTTACCAAGTGTGTCCTTCGCTGGCACACTTAGGAAAAGCACTGAACTGGATTACTTATTAGTTATGCAACTGTGTCCATCTTTGGGGGACATTTTGCCAAAAACTAGGCCCACAATGTCACATCCATATTATGAGGTAATTCAAACCCTTGCAGGTCAGAGGAGCCTTACAAGTCTTTATCATACAAATTCCGACTCGCACCTCATCAGAATCCTGCACAGTAGAAGGTGTAGCACCGACAAAAACTTTCCCTTTAAACCAAAAAGGTTTAATAAAACAATCCTGTTTTGACTTAATTAACCAAAGATCAAAAACAAGTCTGTACTTATTTAGAGGTAGGGTCTCCCTCTGTAGATCCGGCTGGTCTCAAACTTACAGAGACATCAAAGGAGTGCACCACTATGCTCAGTGGTGAGCCTTTATTTTAAAAACTATATTTATTTAAAGTATATGGGGTGGGGTACACATGACACAGCACTGGAGGGGTTGGTTTGTTCCTTCCGTTTTGTGGGTCCTGGGGGTTGAACTCAGGTTGTCAGACTTGGCAGCAAGTTCCCTTTACCCGCTGAGCCATCTTGCTGGTCCAAACCTTTAATTTTCTTTTCAAGGAGAAAGTTATTAGTATCTGGCATATAATAAATTTTAGTATTAAATACTGTACTAAATCACGACAGCATAGCTGACAATCTGGTTCAAAGGGAAAAGTATACTTTAAAAGAAGGAAGAGGAACCATAAAAAAAGCACAACAGTTATATAACAGGAAAAAAAGCACAGACTCCAGGCTAAGAGACTCTGAATAAAATAAGACACAGACTAAAATAACAGCTGTATTCAAAATGGCGGCTGAGTAATGGAAAAAGGCTTAGTGAATTTATAGAATGGAATCAAGATAAGCTCTTCCCTTCCTTGACAATGCTGAGCTGTACTGGTGCTCCGTGTTACCCTGGTCCTTCCTCGCATGAAGAAATGACCCACTAAACATTTGATTTCTCTCTATATTTAGAGCAGCCTCTTCTAGGTGAGCCATTTGTCTGAGATGGAAAGCTGGGCCCCTGAAATCAGCAGCAAGCAGTAACTTGGTCCCCACAGATACAAATAAATAAATAAATTCAGGAAATAAGTATTGTTATAAAAAAATAAATTTCATCATAGTAGATTTTATTTGCATTTCTTCTTCAAAAAACATGCCCAGGATAGGAGTAGAAAAATATAACCAAAGATAAAACCCCAGAAAGCTATGGAGAAAAATTCTTCTTGATCCCTGGATCTCTCCCCTATTTTTTCCATATCTCTAGATATATTAAATTTAATATCCACATAAGCCAATTTTAATAAAAATATGCATCTATAATAGTATGTACTTAATAAGACATGTATCTATGTCCAAAACAAACTATATGTATGACTACCACACATTATCCTATACGGTTACTTTCTGCTATACACAGATCTACAACAGCTGTGTTCTGAGATATCATGATTAGGAACCATTACTATTATATATATTATATATATATGTATTTCATCTAGTTATCTTTCCCTTTGAAGTTGAGAAATGAGAAGGGAGAGGCTGCTTCCCTCTTCTGGGGGCTCTGCCATTTCATCTTCCTATCGTCTGAATTCGAGTCACTGCTACATCTCAGCTGACAGAGAAGAACAGGTGCAAGCTGGGTAAGAAATGAGGGGGGAGCCAGAAGGTGGCTGTGCACACCTTTCATCCCAGCACTAGGGACGAGGCCATCCTAGTCAACAGAGAGTTCTAAAATAGCCAAGGTTACACAGAGAAACCGCCCTGAGAAAGAAAAAGAAAAAAACCACCCCCAAAACAAAACAAACAAACAGAAATGAGAACGTGCCAACCACATCTATAAAGTTTAACCTTCCAGAAAGTCTAGTTACAACAGAGTGATGTAGCCATTTATCAACAAGGTGTTCCCAGTATCACAGTCTGCAGTGAAGAGGTGGTGGCCACCTAACCAACAGCTGATTCTACCTCTGCAGGCTCCTTCTGTGTCTGGGCACTGGCGTCTTAAGGGCTCCCTTCGTATCTGCATGACGATGTTGAAATAGGTAAGGGAAACACCAGTTTGGTTCTCTCTGCTCCCCCGAGACACTGCAGTTGGAAAGCAGGAGGGTAGGAGAGTCCCGCTGACTTCCCACAATGCAACAGTGCCCATGCAGGTTACTATTCTCTGCTCAGATATCTGGGCATTCTGCCCAGATCCAGAAAGGAACGGCTTCTCTTTTGGCAGGGCATTAATGACCTTCCTGGGGATACAGGCTGTCTTAAAAATGTGCTACTTGACTGAAAAGCTTGAATTTTAGTAATAGCATCCCTCTCTTTACTTTCTAGCTTGCAGGTATTATTGCAATACGAAAGAGAAGAAGTGGTCACTCCCTTCTGGACAATGGCAAAGAGTTCCTCTAAAAATGGTTTTGATTGGCTTTCAAAAGACAGCTCTTTTCCTTCTTTGTGAGACAGGGTCTCCCTCCACAGCCCTGGCTGGCTGGAGCTTGGTACACAGGGGAGGCTGGTTTTGAAATCCTAAGAGTTCCATGTGTCTCTGCCTCCCAAGAGCTGCGACTGAAGGAATGCATCACCACCCTGAGTGGAGCTCACCGCTTTTTTTTCTAAATCAGTTATTTGCCCACATTCTCTTCCCAGGAGGCAAGAAGGTTCTGAATCATGTGCGACTGTAACATGACAGACCTCTTCTTCCTGGACTATCTCATGTCATCTGGCGCAGATGTGCCCTTCTAGGGGTTCTGTTGATTGTATAGGGAATGCAACACTATAATCAGGGGCCCTGGATCTCCATGACCTTGGGAAATCAATGACCTTGCCAGGTTGTTTTAAGAGCAGACTTGCCAAATGCATACTACAGTCAAGGTAAAATGGGAAGAATAAGAGATACTGGGTGCAAATCTTGTGACCTTGAGAATTCACATTCTGGTCTCAAAAACTAAATTTTAGTATTTTAAGTCGGATCTTGGCTGTGATGACTTTTTAAAAGGTTTTCATCTCGACCTAAAATTCTAAAGTCTGATGTTCTTGGATAACTACCCCCGTTTTATGACTAAAACCACTATAGCAGAAACCGCTTAGGCCATAATTTAAATTACTACTCATGTGCCCAAAACAACTAGGCAACAGTTACTGGGAATTAGCAGTTGTCCCCTTGGGGTCTCATAGAGGCTGGGACCTTTTGTCCTTGCTTTGAAACATGTCTTTTTGGATTCTGCGAAATTTACAATTCTTCCAAATATTTTCTCACACTCCCCATCTTGAGATTACAGGAGAAAAAGTATCTTCAAAATATAAACTCTAAAGTACTGTAGCAATTTCGACTCTGGTGATAAATGTCACCTTCAAACAGCAAGCAGACTATTCCTACGTCAGAGTCTCTTCACACACCCCCACCCCCTTCAGGCGGGACAAGACAGGAAGATCCAGCCATATAGAGCTTCAACAAGATGGTTGCGTTACAACGGCAAGAAGGTATTCTGCAACGCATGACAGAATAGTAAAAAATATCCACCCAATTGTTTCTAAAGAGTCCTAGCATTACAAAAGAGGATCAAGAATAGGTTTTCTGTAACATTTTTTCCTTTGAAATTAGATATGGCGAATACAAGTCTCCTGAAAACTGGGATCATAACCTAGAGCACTACTTAACCTCAACATCACAGGCCTACTCCTTCCAAGAGCTTAAGAGGCAAAATAGAGGTTAGGACCCAATTCTTTCCCTCCATCCAAATCTCATCCCCGTCAAATCCTTTAACGTCCTTCAGAGAAAATTTTGTCCCTCAGCCATGCGTCAGGATTGAGACGCCTCTCTCCAAGGACAGCGACTTCTCTAGAGTCCTTTTAAGAGACCCTAAATGGAAGCGAACCCCTTTCCAATTACTGGGTTACTGCGACAGTCCGGAGGATGAGTCGGGTTTTGCAAACGGTGCGAAAGACAGCGCCTGGCATTAGGGCTTTTCTAAAGGGCGTCAAGGACAGGCTGCGACCGAGAGGCCGGAGCTGCTGCAGGATCCGGGAGCCCACACTTACCATTATTAAGAACTGCGACGACGATTTCTGCACCTGCAAAGCTGTCTCCAGGAGTCAGGTCACCTCTACAGCAGAACCGTTTCTGGGAGAGAGAGCTGTGCTGGCCAGGAAAGGTTCGGCTGGTTTGCCCCGCACTTTCTGGGAAGTGTAGTTCATCCGGAGGATCTCTGGCCCCCACCTCCGTGCACCCCTGCCAGTGAGAAACTACAATTCCCGAAAGCCTCTTCCTTAGGCTCGCTTCGCGGATTGCAAAGTAGTCCCCGGGTTTGAGCCTCTGTGATTGGAGGACGTCCGTGAGCGGAGGGTTTGCGCTGAGGTTGAAACGCCTGACTGATGGCGCTCAGCAATTGGCGGGAGGGGAGGCGTTAACTTGAGGGAGGAGAAATGAACCCTGAGCGACAGCACCCGTCTCCCCACCAAGACTCTATCCTCCCCCAAGGCTAAACAAGGGAGGCTAAGAGACCTTACGTTGCGTAAAGCCCGCTCGACCCGGAAACAAACCTTTTAAAAACCCATTCTCCCAGGGGCGGGAGGAATCGACGCGTCCGGAACCACGGACAGCTTCACCGTTGCTAGGCGACAAGGCAGGCACACCTGAGCGCTCCCGCGACCAGAGCCCAGTGGAGTTGCATCCCTACCCTGGAGGCAGGTCAGCTTGACCCCCGAGAGTTTTTCTTTTCATCTTGGGTCCAGAACAAGGTGCGGCGCTGTCGCACGTAGCCTGAACCCGGGTCGGACCTAACGGGCGGGTGGGCGACCTCCCGGGTCCCTTGTTAGTGTCGGGAGCATGTGGAGTTCAGGAGAGAGGAGTGTACTGCAGTTTGCACCGGTTTGACTTTTCCAAAGTAAAGTCAGAAAGATTTGTTTGTAAGTGAGCTCCTTATAGAAGTTTGTGGTACATGGATCTAACTTTCTTTGCCTTCCGTGAACATGGGCATTTTTACTCGCTCTCTTTTTGGCAACTGATGCGCTTTAAAACATCTTGATACAGTTATGCCAAACTCGTATTTTCAAGGGAGGTTGGGAGACAAAGTGTTAGTGGCTGAAACCACTCAAGAGGCTTTCATTTAAAATGAAAGTTGCCAAGGGAACAGCTGTCTTCTCCCTTTGCTTTGTGTGGATTTTCGGGAAGACGCGCTGCTTTGGAGCAGACCAATGAATATGGTATTGGTCTGACTTCAGGACTTTCTGTCACAAGTGAACGAATGCTGAGCGGCTTCAGGTTTGTTTTTTGGAAGATTTCCTATTTGGAGAAAGAAATACAATGCCGTAGGGTCTATCTTCTTGAGACTGACTATTCGTGGGTCATTCGAATTAAGCTCTAAATGTTTGTATAAGGCGTCTCAAGTCATTGGAGCCAATTCCAAACAGTCAGGGTCTGGTTGTTAAACTGGAAATTTCTCCTTTTAGTTTTAGCCCCCCCCCTCAACTATGCTTAGCATACTTCAATAATTAGCACTTAAATAAACAAAATAATAATGTTTTAATTTTTTCCCAAGAGGGCCGGAGAGACAGCTCAGTGTTTAAGAGGAGTTGCTGCACGGACAGATGATTTTAGTTCCTAGCGCCCACATAGAGGCTCACAAAATGTCTTAGTTAGGGTTTCTATTTCTGCAGTGAAACCTCATGACCAAAAGTAAGTGGGGGACGAAAAAGTTTGACTTAAACTTCCACACTGTAATCTCTCACTGAAGGGAAGTCGGGATAGGAACTGAAAACAGGGCCGGAACCTGGAGGGTATGAGCTAATGGAGAGACTGTGGAGGAGTGCTGTTTACTGGCTGGCTCCTTATGGCTTGTTCAACCTAATTTCTTATAGAACCCAGGACCCCCAGCCCAGGGATGGCCCCAACCGTAAGAGGTTCTGCTCTCCCCCGTTGACTGTAGCATGAATAATAAAAACCCAGAGACAGATATTGGGGTTCAAGTTGAAATCAGGAAAGCAAAGCAACCAACCACTACAGAGACCTTTTACGTTTACCAAATCTTCATACCGAAAGGGTGAGATCCTGTCTCCACAAATCCTCAGACTTCACCCTCCAGTGAGTTCCTGTCTCTTTGCCTTTATATTTCTCTTTCCGCTCAGCCATGTCACTCCTGTCTCCACCTCCCCAGTGCTGGGATTAAAAGTGTGTGACTCCCAAACACTGGGATTAAAAGTGTGAACCACTATCACCTGGATCTGTTTCTGGTTCCGTCTTGTGTGGCCCAGGGTAGCCTTGAATTTACAGAGATCCAACTGCCTCTTTCTCCTGAGTCCTAGGATTAAAGGTGTGTGCCACTACTCCCTGGCCTGTATGACTGACTAGTCTGGCTGCTTTGTCCTCTGCTCTTCAGGCAAGCTTTACTTATTAAAACACAAATAATATACCACTATAATTGATTGCTAATTAAGAAAATGCCCTACAGGCTTGCCTACAGCCTGATGTCATGAAAAGATTTTCTCAATTGAGAGTCCCTCCTAAGTTATGGTTGCAGCTAGTGTCAAGCTGACATAACAGAATCCAGTAATATTTAGGCTTCAATAGAATATACCAGACTTGAGTGACTTCTTGAATCACTTTGTTTTTTGGTGCTTTTCTTTTGCTCTTGAATGCTGATCTTTCTACATTGGAATGCTACATTTGTCTCTGTTGCAAGAAGAGGCAGCCCCTTGTTTGTCCTGACCGCCTGAAATAACCACACAGAAATTGTATTCATTAAAACACTACTTGGCCCATTAGCTTTAGTTTCTTATTGGCTAATTCTTACATAGTAATTTAACCCATTTCTATTAATCTGGGTATTGCCACATGCCAGTGGTTTACCAGCAAGATTCGAACCAGTGTCTGTCTCAGGCAGAAGATCCATGGTGTCTCTCACTCTGCCCTTCTTTCCCAGCCTTCAGTTTTGTCTTCTCTGCCTACCTAAGTTCTGCCCTATCAGGCCTAAAGCAGTTTTTTTATTCCTTAGCCAATGAAAGCAACACATGAACAGAAGAACCTCCTACACCATGTCTCTGTCCACACTTAGGTTATTCATAAGTTGTAGCTCGAAATGTTACCTCTTTGTTAGAGCCTCTCAAATTCCAGGGCATGTCTATGTACTTTCTGTTTCTACTTGGTTTTCTGATAAATATCAGTTCTGTTAGTTTTTAGTTTATGGCATCGCCTACTGAGTAACTGTATGTGGAAGCATCACACTCCAGACAGAGATAGCATGACTTGTCCCCAGTTTCTCTTGTTGGTTGAGGTTGGGATTACAGGATTTCCAAGTGAAGAGTGAAGGGCACTTTCATGGGGACTGTTCTAATAAATCTGCCATGGGAACTTAGGATAATGGTCTTGGACTGAGCCACTTACTTAGGCTCTAGTGATCAGAAAGGAGAAGGGTGCAGTAACTGCCTTTTAGAGATCACTGTAGCATGAAACATTAATTGCTGAAGGCAACACAGTAATCTGGTAATTGTTAAAAGGCTTATTCTGTACTTGGAGGGCTTTATTTTAGTAAGGGGGTGCTGTCCTGCTCTGCAGCTAAGATGATGAGACAGCTGCATCTGTAGTGCGGTGGTGTGCTGGGGAGTTTTCATCACTTTAACGCAAACTAGACTCACCTGGAGAGAGACTCTGCTGAGAAGAATTGCTTCCAACAGATGGTCTGTGAACATCTTTCTGGCCATTTTTTTGATTGATGATTGCCTTTTTTATGGTGAAAATGTGTTTATTTAGAATTAGCCAGCTGGACTCAGTTTAGATGACCCCAATTTTGTTGGCAACATCATAACCAGGACCACCTGAACAGCCGCCTTCTCTCCATCAGGCCTTATGAGGGTGTTGACTTTTGCCACATCAGTGTCCCAGAATTTCTTCACGGCCCATTTGATCTGGTGCTTGTTGGCCTTGACAGCCACAGTGAGCACAGTTGTGTTGTCTTCTGTCTTCTTTAGGGCTGACCCAGTCAGTAGTCAGGGGGAATTTGATGATTGCATAGTGGTCAAGCTTGTTTCTCCTGGATGTGCTCTTTCAAGGGTATTTGGGCTGCCTCTGGAGCTGCAGGATCTTGGGCTGCCGGAAGGTGGGTGATGTATGGATCTTGTGGCTGTGGATGCCTTTCTGCACTACCTTCTTGGCTTTCAAGGCCTTTGCTTCGTCTCTGGGAGAGGCAGTAGCTTCCTTCGCTTTCGGTGTCTTCTTGGCAATCAGGCGCTGATTGTCCTAGTCAGGGTTACTATTGCTGTGATGAAACTCCATGATCAAAAGCAACTTGGGGAAGAGAGGGTCTATTTGACTTATGCTTCCACATCACTGTTCATTACTTAAGGAATTCAGGAACTCATAGACCAGGAACCTGGAGGCAGGAACTGATGGAGGAGTGATTTTACTGGCTTGCTCAGCCTGCTTTCTTATAACACCTAAGATCACTAGCCCAGGCATGGCCCCACCTACAATGGACTGGGCTATCTCTGTCAATCACTAAGAAAATGCCCTTCAGGCTTTCCTACAGCATGAAGTTGTGGAGGGTTTTCTCCTCTCTATTGATTCTAGCTGTGTCAAGTGGACATAAACTAGCCAGCACACTGATTGATGTGACTGGTGCCATTCTTGGCCAATATGAATATGATAGGCTGTGTATGAAAGGTAACTGAATAAACCAGCAAGCAGTGTTCTTCTGTGGTCTTTGTTTCAGTGTCTGCCTTGGCTTCCATTAGTGATAGGCTGTGATGTGGAAGTGTAAGATAAAGTAAACCCTTTCCTCCCCCAAGTGGCTTTGGTCAGTATTTTATTATAAGATTTGGTGGAAGAAAGTTATCACCCAGAGTAGAAGCAGGGGAGCCATTTCTTTATCATTGGGTTTCCGATGGCACACACAACTTATGAAATGCTGACTTATCAGGAATGGCCCAAGAAAAAAGCCCATTTTTTTTTTTTTTGCTTCAGCCATTGTCTTTTATCCTGAAGGAATCCGTGTTTACAGTGCTGAGGTGTGTATATTTATGACTGTTCAGGTTCAGACTGTATCAGTAATGGAGGTTGGAGAAAGAGCAGTGTACTGAGGCGTCTTTGTATTTGAATACGTGCTTCATGGCTGAATGCGAATGCCCCCAGAGACTCATATGTTTGAATCATGGAATCCAGTTAGTGGAGCTATTTGTGAAGGATTAGGGATGGGTGGCCTTGCT